AATTTCTTAGTATCTAAGTAACTTTTATAATGATACGTAAAAATTTTCTGAAGTTAATGCATTCATCATATTCAACTAAATAAAATTTAATTTTGAATTAAAAAGTGGAAAGTAATGAGTTTAATTAAATAGATTAGAAATACCTAATACATTTTAATTATATACTGAATAGGTACACACGCGGTGGATAAAAACCTGCAGAGTTTAAAACAAATTTAAACGTGATCAAGTGAATTKATAAATGGCTGGATAAAAACTAAAATTGATGGTAATACATAATTTTGACATTCGTACACATATCATATATTATAATATTTCTACTTTTCTGAAAGTAATTTTAAACTATTTGATATAATGAATTTAGTTTTTCGATATTTCGGATACCTAACTACTTATTACATCGGCTGAATATCAAAAAATCAAAATAATGTTAAGCATACAAAATACTCGTAAATCTCAATGTCGAGGAAATAAAAATAAATGAATATCATTACATTTGATGTGTAATTCAAAATGCCATGTAGTTCAACGTCTGTTGAAGTGGATAATTTATTTTTTATATGTTACTTATAAATTATTTTAGAGAAAAGTTTTTCGCAGTGACACACATTGAGAAATGGCCGACTTTAGCTTTTTCCTGTATCATAAATATTAGTATAAAGTAGTTACCGGGACAAATATTTCATCCCAAATTGCCATATTAGTTTCTTAAATTCGTTATTTTATACTATTATGGAACGAATCGCATATTTCAATCGTATTTCAGTGATCAATAATTACCTTTTTTTGTTTTTTTTTTTTCGTTAGTATCGAGAACCGGAGGAGGAACCATGGTGCAAATACTTCTCCTCCGGCCCCAATCGTTTATTGATAAAAATAACCAATTACACATTTAAGTAGCTGCGACGGGCCATTCTCCCGTTCGCTAGCTATTACAATAGGATGTTATACAATAATATCGAGAACTTGCCTTCGGCTACATTTTTTAGAAACTTAACTATAGGTATGCGTAATTATTAATTAGTTTGGTGAATTCGGAGGTCTTTCTGCGGCCTGACGACGCCGTTCCTCATCCTCCTTCGTAGTAAGGATGTTTTCCACCATGCGATAAAAAAGTTTAAAAACTTCCTCAGCTCCTATAAGAACCGCTTGCTTATCGATTGGATCCAGCGGCAGAGTCTCGAACACTGGACCGCAGATTATGTCGGGCACGTCGATGGTGTTCGGACGACGACCTATCCGGGAGGTTAGAGCTTCCCGAAATCCTTCCCAGTAGACGCACTGGAATAACGTGTGTTCGGCGGTGTCCGAGTCGTCTGCACACTGCCAGCGACGTGGACTGGTGGCCCTGCCCATACGATGGAGGTACCACTGGAAACAACCATGGCCCGTGAGTGCCTGTGTCATGTGGAACGTCATAGGCACCCACGGGACGGTCCTTCCCAGCCATCTCCCCAAGTCAGGGATGACGCAGCGCGTCCATGCAGCTTTTGAGGTTGCTTGCCATCTAGCCTGCCAGACACCGATCGTAGCGTTTCTCGCCTCGCTTTTTGCGGTTGCTTTGAAAGGTCGTTGTTCGCCGGGTTCCAAAACGACGAGTAGTCGGGACCCGATACTGCGTCTTTCCAATCCGAGCAGATCGGCGGGTGGCATGCAGGCCAGAACCAGAGCGACCTGGTCCGACACGGTGCGTTACGACCGGATCACCCTCATGGCGGCGGTCCTCTGTGGACGGATCAAGATCGCTCTGGTTCTGGCGACATCTGTGATGGCGGAGATCCAGACAGGAGCGGCGTACAACAGTTAACTTTCTACAACGGACGCTAGCAGCCTCCTYTTCCACTGAACCGGTCCACCTATATTCGGCATAAGCCTGGACAGAGCAGTGGCTGAGCGGGCTGCCTTCGTTGTGACAGCGTGGGACCGTAGCACCTTCGTGTGGACTGCAAAAGTCAGACACTTGTCCAGAATGACCCCAAGGTACCTGATTTCATTTCGCAATGGGATCAGGTGGCCGTTGATCGTCAGTCGAGGTGGGACAAACGCCCGTCTCCGAGACAGGATCACCGCTTCACTCTTCTGATGAGCCAACTCCAGGCCYCTGCTMCGCATCCAGTCGTCAATGGCCATGAGTGTGGGATTGATTGCGTCTTCGAGTTGCTGCCCGGTCACGGCCATTCCCACGACCGCGAGATCGTCCGCGAAGCCGACGAGCTGCACCCCGGGTGGCGTGTCCATCGTCAGGAGGGAATCATAGACGACGTTCCACAAGGCTGGGCTAAGAACAGAGCCCTCCGGCACTCCGCAGGTAACCAGCCTCTCCATCATCTCTTCACCAGTCAACAGCGTTCTATTAGTCAGCCAAGACCGGAGCATCTCCACCAGGTACTCCGGGGTATTGATGWGCCTCAAAGCTGCATCGATTACAGGCCACCTCAAGGAATTGAAGACATTCCTGACGTCCAGAGTCACCAAAACACAGAGACTTTTCTTTCTCGGGGTGGTGGCTGCCTGTGCGGCGATGCTGAGTATCTTGCCAATTGCACACTCCGTGCTGACCCCTTTCCTGAAGCCAAACTGGTTTGGGGCTCGTCCCCCGTGCTCGTCCAGATGATCCTCGAGTCTTTGGAGAAGAAGCCTCTCGAGCAACTTGCCTGGGATGTCTAACATGCAGATCGGCCTATAGCTCGACGGGGCGTCCGGAGGTTTGTCTGGGCCCTTACGGAGCAGCACCAGCCGTGCCCTCTTCCAACATGGTGGAACCGTCAGCGCGTCGAGGCAGTCATTGAAAACGCTAAGGACTGCGCTSGGCTGGGCGGACACGGTAGCCCTGAGGATCTCATTGGGAATCCCCGAAGGTCCGGCTGACTTGCCCGATGCGAGCCTGTTGACTGCTCTGCTGAGTTCTTCTGGCTTGAATTCTGGAATAATTTTGGTAAACTCTATCGTATTCAGCACCGGGTTCAGCCCTGTCAGATCTACATACAGTAAAACACAAAAACAGTAAAATTCCGTTTAGATGACACACAAATTTACCATCAACACCTTCAGTTTTTAGATAACGATATTTCACAACATTTTGAAGATAATGGTATACTTGGAAGTTCCTCAATAGGTCATAAATACCTTTGCAAATATTGATTCAGCAAAAATACTGTATAAAGAAGAATTTATCGAAATTGTGACAAACCACTAAGGAAATGTTACAARCAAGTTGCATATGAAACAAATGAATACTATAGGCCAGATACTGAGTCACATATTTTGTCATGTCAAGATGCAAATTGGTATGACACTACATCAGAAGAATTATATTATTTATTTCAGTACAAATGCTTATAGCAAGAAATAAAAATCTTCACATTTCAGACTATTGGTCTACAGATCTACTACTTCATTCTTCTATTTTTGAAAAAATTTATTAGGAGAAATCGGTTTCAATTACTTTTGCGTTATATTCATTTTTGCGTAATAATAACAATCAAGTCACAAATAACCGCTTATTCAAAATTTATATGGTGTTACAAGATATAAAGAACAATTTCAGATTTGCTATGGTGCCATTTCAAAATCTTGTTATAGATGAGAGTTTGGTGGCTATAGAAAGGGAGACTTTCATTCAASCAATTCATAAGAACTAAACGCCAACGGTTTGAAATAWTTTTTTTATTTTGTGTGATGTAGGAACAGACTATATTTTAGATTTTATAATATACACTGAGGGAACTATACGTCTTGTTTCATGTGATACTAACTTAAGCCAATCAGGTGCTGTTGTAAAAACATTGATGAAAAAATATTTGAATAAAGTTCATATTCTATATACTGACAACTGGTATACATCACCAAACTATCAATGTACTTGCATAAAAAAAAACCAATACTTGTGGAACTATAAGATGTAATCGTCGTGGAATGCCACAATTCAAAAATACTAAATTTCAACCAGGTCAAACTGAATGTAAACATACTGAAAAATGTTGATGATAAAATTGATGGACCGGAGAGAAGTGCATATACTGACCACGATACATGAGAATGAACAAAT